CAACGTATACGCTAGCTATATACAGTGTACTTACGTAACACGACACTTCCAGATTTGCATCCAGGTTACTCTCGCCTTCGTCCGGATACCTTATTATTAGGTTCGCTCGCACAGCCTAAGAAGGGTTGGTGTGCGCGAACCTATCGCTCGCCGCCGACTGTCCTAAGAACTGTCCACTGTCCGCTGGTCTCGGCTTCTCCCCACCACGTCTACGGCAGCGCTTCAAGGTGACAGCGGCCGAGTCTCGAACTAGGAGACATGACCAGCTGCAGTGGACATGTGTGACATTGTTGTCAAGCGCGCTCAAGCCTTCGCGGCCTTTAAATAATTAAAACGAACCCCCCAATAAAATGTGACCATTACACCCCCTTTTCACTTTGGCGACAAAAAAAACAAACAAAAAAAAGGTACCTGCCTACAGGTATCTTCGCTCGTACAAACGCTTCTTCTAGTGGGCGAGGCGACAAACCATCCCCGCACCCAACGCTCGGCCCTTCTTCTCTGGCGGGGAGAACGCTCTCCTCTCACGCCTATGCAAAAGAGAAGTATCGACCTGTTTGTCAAAGTTAGATGTCAATCTACGATTTGGCTGAGTTGTATCGCACAACCTCAGGAAACCGTTCCTACGCTTGACATGGATATCACTCGGCGACGACCGATTATCCTTTCGACTTGCAACGGACATTTGGCGCTCGTTTTTAAGAGCACCCATCCTCCTTCCCTGATCGCGACTATCACTGTCCGTATCCTTCCGACCGTTCAACCGAAATAGCTTGCCGCTACGAATAATGTATTTATCGAAACTCCCGGGATTAACATTCACCTTGGTCCAAAGTTTATCGTACCATCTGTCTGTGCCACCAGATCGTTTATTCAACCTTTCTGGATCACTCCCTGGTGTTTTAGCGTCCGAGTTAACGCATACTTGAAGGGGACACATCGCTGTCTCGATGGAGGTATACTCGGCGACACCTTCTGCCGGTCGCGATAACGCACCAGCCACATTGTTGGCGGTACCTGTCTGGTACTGAGCCTCAACACCGTGCCGTTCGTTCACTCCATCAGCCGCGTCCGGTCTCGTATTCTCTACCTCCACGTGGTATGTCACCAAGTTCAGTCGCTCTAAGCTATCGATCCCGAGAACTATGTCACTGGTAAGCGAGGGAAGATACAGAGCATGGAACTCTTCCATTCGTCCTTTCAATAGACCTTTGAAGTGATAGGACTTGTGCGACTTCGAATAACTACCGTTGGCGAGTCTCACTACCATAGGAGTCAAAACAGACATAATTCCAGACTGTTCCAAGTGACGTGCCACCGCCGTGCCGATCAACGTGACTACGGCACCTGTATCTATTAGCGCGGCGAACTCTCGCCCTGCTATCGTCACTGATACGTGCGGTCGTCTGTCGTTGGCCTGAATCTGAGCGTTGTCGGTTTCCGGGAATTGCTTAATTTTCTCTAACCAAGCGCACCAGTCCGGGGAGGTCTTCGTAGAAGGTACTACTGAGGATTCAGGCGACCTCATTTGGTATTTTCCTCGACACCGACAATCGTGGGTTCGGATACCCACCTTTTTACAATAGAAACACTTTAGAGATCTGGGCATACGGCAGTCACGAAACATGTGACCTTTCTTGTCACAGTTCCAACATGTGATAGCAGATTTTTCTCTCATGTTATTCGGCCATCGCGGAACTGCATTGTTTTCTCGGGGTGAACCTCCGCGCTCACGCTCCGAGTTACGTCGTGGTTTTGTAGATGACGAAGTCCTCGTAAAATTACCCGTCCGGGGGTTCGGAGATTTCTCTCGTGACCTACGTGGTCTTGCCTCTGACCGGAAGCCTACGCGCTTCTCGGTTAATCGTCCCGTCACGCCGTTCGATGACTGACACTCGCCAATCGTCGAAACTCCGAAATCATCTCCTGATTTATTATCGCGTCCGCGTCTCGGGTGATAAGCCGTTTCGGGGACCAACGCTGCCGACGGAGGGGGAGGGGGACGGAAAAGAGATTTTTCCCTAAAATAGCTCTCAACGTGTTCCGCTTGTCTGAGCATTTCGTCGACCGAGAAAAAATCGTGTCTCCTCATCGTCAACTTATATTCGGGTCTCATATTCGTATACAAAATATTCAATTGTTCGTGGAGACTGAGGGTTCCCTTGCGTCGCATGAGAGTAGTTAAAGCCACAACAAAGTTTCTAAAAGCTTCGTTGTCACCTTGAGTCCGACGCCGAATTTCTTCGTCTAGATTTCGCTGGTATCCCGGTGGTAGGAATTGTAGTTCGAAACTCGATCTAAATGACTCATAATTATGCCAGGAGTCTTTATAGTTTCGATACCACAACAGTGCATTACTATGTAGTAGCTCGGGGAGTGCTCGTATAATATCGTTCTTATTTATTTCGTAGGCCTCCATAAGCTCTTCCAGGCGTTCCAAGAAAGAAACGGGGTCCTTTGAGCCGTCAAAACGAACGTTCCACTTTCGAAGTAAATTACACAACGCCGAGACGTCAACAACGCCAACCTTACGAATTACGTTCGAATTTTCGTGACACGAAGGCAAACCACTACTGAATCCGTGATTCACGCTTGCCTGTGTAGCAATACCTAGTTGTTCGCTCGCGAACCCACCGTACGGTCGCTGACCGGTACCGGGCACCGTAGTTCGATTAATCGAATCTGTAGAGTGGGAGGTGTCGAAAGCATAGTTAACACTTGGTCTGGTTAGTGTACTATACACTAACCCCTCGGAATTTGTAAAACGATCTGATTGTGTCATATTGACTGGATAATTACTAGCCTGATTGTTGGCCTGATTGTTATCAGCGCGCATTGTTAGGCTTGATAACGAACGACAAACATCCTCAAAGTTGGTTCCTGGAGGCAAACCAACTATCTCCCGTACTCTGTCAAGTTCCGCACTTCGTATGTCACTGGCACCTGGTCGCGAGTCGACATATCCCGTGTCGTACCGGTGTGGAAGTGCAGTCGCACCGTCCACGCTATCATTCACGTCCTTACCGTACACTGCTCGGGGAATGCCATGTTTCCAAAATTTACAAAACGACTTGCGAAGTTCGTCGACTGTCCCCATATTAGGCAAACCGTATCGACTCATTTCGTAACGAAGTTCATCCTTGGTTAACGTGTGGATCCACCCAATTCGCGGGTCATCCTCTGAGGGACTCTTAGACGTCAACGTACGATCAGTCGTAGTAAGTAAATTTAAAGTCGTTGGTACCATTAACTGTGTCGTCGTTGTACCTACTTGAGGCTGAGTAGCCTCTGCGGTCGTAGCGGGAAAACTTAAAGTCGATGGCACAGTTGGTTGTGAAATAGTTTGCGCTACTTGAGCTTGGAAAGACCCTGCAGTCGTAGTCGTGGTTGTCGTAGTCGTGGTTGTCGTGGTCGATTCAGTCACTGCTTTGACCGTTTTAGGCTTAGTTTTCGCGCTAACACTCGATCCTACCATTTTCGCTTTTTCTTATATTCCAAAGAAAAACCACTACGATATCGATTTTACCGTTCGGGCGCCAATACGTGAAGCACGTATGAATATTACGATAATAACGAAACTTTCAATGTCCCTGTTCGGAGGCGCCACTTTGTGAGGTGTTTATGTCGGGTAGGGCACCTATCGTAAACTTACCTCCGATTTGCTCGGACAGCTCGAGTAGTCCAGGGTCTCGCTGACAGTCCTCGTCGCTCGCTTACCACTTCTAGATCTTCGTAGATGTTAATGTCGCGCCGATCTGCTAGTACACAAGTACACACTGTGTACCTCAGCACGTCGACGCACCGTACACGAGTTGCGATTAAGGAATACACTAACTATAGTTACTCCTATAACTTGGTGTCAGCACAGCGACGCGCTGACAGGGCCAAGTCGAAGTTAACTACTAGGGGCCGATAGATAAATAGGCGATGTTTAAGAAATAAAATAAATACCCAGCTCCTAGGCGTAACGAAAGGTCTCACTTCTCAAAATAAAACTAAAAATAATCTTCTCGGAATTAAACGAAAAACTACGCTAACTCGCGATAAGTAAATAAGGAAATAAAATAAAACGTAGAAGGTGCTTATGCCAATTCTTCTTGGCTTTAAGGAAAATAAATAAAAATTCTTGATTACAATAAAACAAAACCACTTTGGATGACTAAAAGTCGGCGTATGTGACTGTGACACTACACTCGCAGCGTCGGTCGATAAACTACGTTATTTTATAATAAACTACGATAAACGTCCTAGAATAGCCTAATAAATAACGCAATTTCCCTCGCCAAAGTGGATACGGGGATGAATACAACGTATACGCTAGCTATATACAGTGTACTTACGTAACACGACACTTCCAGATTTGCATCCAGGTTACTCTCGCCTTCGTCCGGATACCTTATTATTAGGTTCGCTCGCACAGCCTAAGAAGGGTTGGTGTGCGCGAACCTATCGCTCGCCGCCGACTGTCCTAAGAACTGTCCACTGTCCGCTGGTCTCGGCTTCTCCCCACCACGTCTACGGCAGCGCTTCAAGGTGACAGCGGCCGAGTCTCGAACTAGGAGACATGACCAGCTGCAGTGGACATGTGTGACATTGTTGTCAAGCGCGCTCAAGCCTTCGCGGCCTTTAAATAATTAAAACGAACCCCCCAATAAAATGTGACCATTACACCTGTCTCATTTTTATTTGTCAACACGTTTAATGAGATAAAAGTTAAAGTCAATTAAGACGAGACAAAGCTACATAACCCGTGTCCAGTCTACCTACAACCGCTGTTGTGCTGTGTGTCATGATAGCACTATCATGTTATATCGTGTCTAAATGTTCATATCACGAACTCTCGTCATGTTATGGGGCAATATATTTAGTTAATTTTTCTCTTGTACAAGATAAAATTTGAACAAGTTGTTTGTGGACTTATTTGATGATTCTTTTGTAAAATGTAAAAAACCTGTATGTAGGTTTAAATATTTAAAAATGTTCTTTCAAAACTGTTTCAGCTTCACGAAACAGAAACAGCAAAAGAAATAGCTATGTCAATGATTCCAATGAAAAGGTAATTTAACAAGATAGAAGATAGGTACGGTATATAAAATTAGATGATACGATTATATTGGTTTTTTTTTTATGCAAATACTTTACTATTGTTTTCAGTTATATAACAACTTTTAAACTTCTCTATCACATGAAAACTTCTAACAGTATAAGATTAATCTTATTTCTAAAATGTTTAAGAGATGCAAGTTGCCAGATTTAAATTGAGTATATATAGATGTGGAAATTTACAAAAAAGAGTGAAAGTAGAGTAGTTAAACATTTTACTAACGGTGCCAGCAACATTATCTGAGCACAAAAAAGGTCAGACTAAGAAAAGGACATAAACAATTAACTAACCAAAAAAGCATTGCAAAGTATTTAGGTATGCTAATTTAAACGTTTGACATATTTTTGAACTTATTTTGTTATGGTATAAGTCTGTGTCTAAATGTTGTTGTACATAGGGTAACAAACGTAACCTTCAAGCAATGTTTCAAAGAACATAATGCCAGCCATTACACACATTTCACAATCTGTATTTGCTAAACACCTTTATCTTAACCATAATCTCATGTCACATTTCCACACACTTTTAAGTTGCTCCAATCCAGATTTATAAACTACCAAATAAATATATAGAGAAGAAAACATAACACCATAGTTTGTTTGTGAAATCTATACAGCTAAAAACAATTACAAGCGTCTAGGCAGCCAGTGCAACTCCGAGGATCGTGGATCAGAACACCCCCCACCACCGCACCATGTCGTACGCTTCCGAATCATACCGGCGCATCAGCATAGCCTAACTGTTCGTGGAAAATTGTTATCTCTATCACTGTCGCTGTCAAAACATATCGTTTGTAGGTTAAATTTAAATTAGCCTAAAAATAATTAAACTGTCATAACCTAACCAAACTTGCTGATAATGAAAAACTTGATTGAAATGATTTACTGATAGAAAAAATTGTTCTAAAAATAAAATTATAAATGTATAAAATTAAATTTTTTAGTTATAAAATTAAACTGTCATAACCTAACCAAACCAACCAAACTTGCTGATATGAAAAAAAATTGTTGACAAAAAGTTAGTGCTACCAGCGGGATTTGAACCCAGCACCTTTCGATTATCAGCCTGACACGCTATCCACTACACCACCAAGGCTCATGACTTGGCTCCGTATCGTTGCGGTAATGGTTGACGTCACACCATCGGCACGGAGTGGTGGCGAGGGGTTTCCGATCTGATCCATGATCCTCGGAGTTGCATTGCCTGCCTAGACGCTTATAAAAACAATCTGGCAACCATGGCAGCTGCAGAAAACTAAAATTCCCTTAAACCCCACCTTACCCTACATCCTCTACCAATCTATCACACTCTACTAATCCTTAAATCTCTAGTCAGCGGATGATAGACAACACATCAAGTTATCGCCATCGGCCATACACACATAGACTGCAACACATCAGAACAAAATAAAAATGGCATTCTATAAATCAGAGTAACTATGGCGTTTCCTGTTTCCACTTTCAATTACAACACTTAAGCAAACAAATTTTTAGATTTTTGAGTATCTAAATCTCTTTTTCTCAAACTGGATGAAATTTTATTCACCTTAGCCACAAACTAATCCTTCTGTGAAATAAATTGTTTGTTTTTTTAAAAATAAGTTTAACACACCAATATTCTAGTAAAACTTGTTGTTGTTTAGGTTAGCACAGCCTGATGAGATGGCCTCAGTTGTAGCTTTCCTGTGCTCGGAAGATGCTTCTTACATCACAGGAGAAACGTTCATTGCCGCAGGTGGAATGGCTTCCCGGCTGTGAAGCTCTTCCTTACACACTTAACACAAATGAAATAAAGGGAAACCAGCTTATAGGACACTGGCCAGGGTAAACAAGACAATAGAAGTCATGATTTGATAATTGTTTAGTAAAGTTTACTATTGTACCATAAATTTGAACAGTCCCATTTCTTTATGTAGGCTTAACATTCCAAAAGAGTCCATAAAAAGGTAATATTTTTCAGTTTATTGCATGGTGTTAGCTATTAACTCAGTTCCATGGCGGTGCCATGTTGCCACACACCCTTGTATTAGAGGAGGCTTTATTTCATTTTTTTACCTTTCTGTTAGTTTGTTATTTGTATCTTTACATTATTATTGATTTATTGTTTTATTTACAAGTTTTTTGACTGTTTTACAACCTGTTAATTGTTCTAATGTTTATATATGAAATAAAATTTATATATTTATTAATTTTATATTAAAATATTACTACACTCACCCTTCATTTATTTTCAGCTTAAAATATGCACCCGGGTATAATATAGAGGTGAATATCTGCCATGTGAACAAATAATTGATTTTGAAAAATATTTCTTATTAAAAGTATGTAACTCTCATCATTAATGTTACAGATTAGTTATTCCTTAAATATCATCTCGTCATTCATTTTCAAATAGGTAATAAAAGAGATTTTTATTTTTATTTAGTTTCAAACAGTCTTGATTAACACTCTAACGTGCTTGAATGAGTAAGATAATGGCCGGGTGCTTTGTAAATCAATGTGCTGAGTGAAGAACATTTGCCAATTAAGTATTGCTCCAACCAATAACAGAGCCACACCACCTCGGCAATGATATGTGATGTCAAGTTTAATCAAAAGTGATTAATCATTCTATTGAACATTCACAAATTTTATCTTCTAGGTAAGTTCTATTAGAACCAAAATAATATACCGTACTGACTATTGGATATAAATCCATTTTCATCTCAGGTATTGGCTATTATAGTATACTCCCTCTAGTTGGGCTTTGTTGGCTCGTCCGCAGGATGGTCCGGGTGGTCTCAGGGGGATGAGTCATATGGTCACAGGTGAATGACCTTCCACAGGATTCAACTTGAATGTCTATTTTCTGGCCGTTGAAGTAAAAAATTTCTGTCAGTTTATTTGACGGGTGCTTCTATGACCCGATCGGTTGCACTTAACCTACAGTAAACAATTGTGTTAACAGTGTATTTTGATCTGGGATTTCATAAGTGTTTTTTTACTGTACGGTATCGGTATTTTAGATTGTTTTCGGGGGGTGAACTTTGAGAGTAAATGTGGGTTCTGAATACAGAAAAATGTCTTTTGATCAAAAGTACTGAAAACATTAGAAAATTGTATTTAAAATGTGAGAAAAACTATAGAAATTTTTTTCTTAAATGAGTGAAAAATGTAAACACAAGTTTTTGACAATGGAACAAAGACTCAATCTTTAGAGCGTCGGATAGAGGCGAATAAGTCCAGTGTTGCAAAAACATATCTATAAGTGGAAACAAACAGACAACTCAAGAAGAAATGTCAAAAGATTAATTTTGGTAAGTAATACTGTAAAATAATATTAAAATAGCCTATGGTAGGCCTAATGTTATTTGTTGATTTTTAAGCATCGTAATGGATTTAATAGGGTTAGTTTCACCTTTGAAAATACATCTGGTTAGTCCAGCCATTTTGTTGTTCGGTATTGAGGTGGCCAAACTAGAGGGAGTCTACTGTAACAGCTCAGTGAAAACTTGCCTTAAACTAAATTTAAAAGCCGACAATTCCATATTTTAAAGAAATATTTAACGTGCAAAATATTGAAGTACAGTAGACCCCCTCTTACCCACCAATAATGGGATTGGACCTAAGACGGATAGCTCAAAAGGTTGGTTAAAACGGACAATCCCTAAAAACATAACAAAATGAAGTCCTATTCATTTGGAATTATGTAGGGGCTAACCATTGTTAAATTCGTACTTGCATTATTTATGAAATAAATTAAACCTATCTCTTTTTTTTTCTTATTTATAGAAAAGTTCCGAATAACAAAAATGACGGTTAAGTCAAATACTTTCCGTGGAATATAATATATTTGTAAGCAAGAGTCAATAAAAATTATTATTTTAATAGCTTTAGTACTGTAATATTAATTGATGCTTCCAAACTTATTGTAATACAGTACAGAACTTTTTAGCAAAATTAAATATGCAAGCAACCATTTTGTTACGAGACAGGATGTTTATTTATAGCCTTTCACTGGAGGCTCGTGTCACAAAAACTATCTTTACTTTTTAGAGTAGTTAACCCCCCTTCCCTGCTGTCCCTACAAGTTGCGTTGTTTGTTTACTCTAGTGATAAGATAATTCTAGATTTATGCCTACAAAAATAGCAGCTGTTTTCAGAAACATAAGTTAAACTTTTTTTGGATGAATACAAAATAACTTATAGGCCCCTACTTAGTCCACATCCTGTGGAGATAAGCATATGGTTCCCATCACCGAGCGTGGGGGCGGAAATGCCGAGATTCGTAGAAAGCGGCGGTTAAACTGAACTGTTGTCAAAGGTCTTGAAGGCTGTCTATGGTTCTTGTTTCACTTAATTGTATACTCAACATTTGTATGCAACATAAATTGCTGTGTTTAAAAATTATAATATAGGTACGGTGGTACAGTACTGAACTAAATGTAAACAATCAAAATATAATTCAAAGATCTTTAAAGCATTATCCCACAATATAATAAAAAACGTACTGTCACGCTCGGCAGTGACGTCACTGGGTTGTGGGGGCCTGGAACACCATTAGCACAATGATACGATTTACAGCCATCGGTGTTTGTGGTGTAGTGGATAGACTACTCGGCTGTTGTACACGAGGGATCTAGATCGAATCCCAACGGTGACACTAACTTTTTGTCCAAAATTTAGCTTAGAATGCCATTTATTCTTAACTGTACATCTTAAGTTAGAATTTGAGGCCTTTATAATTTTATTTTATGAACAGAATTTAACCTTTATTCGGTTTTTCCATTATCAGCAAGTTTGGTTAGTTAGGTTATGAGTAACTGCCGGACGCCCAACCCACGTCCGGTTGCCGGACGTGTATCCTCTGCCATCTAAAATATTTTTAACGTAATTGAATACAGCCCCATTTAATTGATGTTTCTGCCCTTAGGAGGGTTTAAAAAAAAAAAAAAAAAAAAAAAAAAAAAAAACGGTTTATCACAGTAGGCTACGGGTATCACCTTTCATTCAAGTATCCGGTTGTTAGGTGTGTGCCTTACGGTTTTCTCAAAAGTTCAAAACCTTCCTAGCTGTAGGCCTGGATAGATTTAATTGTAGGCTATAAATCATATCAGGCAAATTGGAAATTCGCTAAGTCTGCAAGTTTTCTGCGGTGGAGGCATTTTACTTAATTTTTCAGCTTTAAATTTAATAAGATAAGTTTATTATAGACTAATAGGCTAGGCCCTATACCGTATTCTATAATAGGCTAATACAGCAATCTGAAGTGTAGGATTAGGCTATTAACTTGGTGGTAGAGGTGTCATACTTTTATAAAAATTAGTTAGGCCTAGGGCCTATAATAAACTGTTTTAACCCTCCAAGTGTCCATAGTTTCTAGGCCTTAATGTCCACCTATTTTTGGCGCATTTGCAAGGTTTTATTAAAACGGATCTGAGAAGCTTAAAACAATGTTAATTCTAATGTTCTATATACCATTTTGTTTGGAAAATCATGGGCTTCAATATAAAACATAAGGAACATTTTTTCAAAAAAAAAAAAAATTTTTAGGTAAAAAAAATATAATTTCAAAAATTTTCAAAAAAAAAATAAGTTTGTGCTCAATGAAATTGTATAAATTATAGGCCTATAAATATTTGAAAATAGCCACTTTGTTCTAAATTTTATGAGGATTACAAATATATAATAATATAAGGAAGTAGATTTGCAAATAAATAAGTTATGGGCAAAAAACTGATTTCAGTACATAGCGTTTAGCTAAGAATGCATAGCCTAACCATAGCTAGGAATCTGGCTGATAATTTACATCAATATCACTACCTACTTCTTCAGGATCATCAACCAGCACTTCAAAACCACTTAAATCTTCTTATAATGCACCACGTATATCACTACTTTTGATTTTTAACACTAAAACAATGATAAACGTAATAAAACACATCAGTCATCGGTCCGGGGGAACCTAGCTGTTTACAAATACACGCACGTCAGCTGTCTGCTACAATATTTTCGGAACTAAAATGAATAGCGCTTAGAGACAGACCTCTGGAGAAAGCTTAGAATATTACGGAAAGAACGATACCTAACTCGATCCAGTTCAATCCGATTCAGTCAGTCATAGAGCCTTCGCCGTAAACGATGTCTGCGTGTCGAAAAATCGACAAGTAACACTACACAAAGTGTGCTGCTTGTCGAATTTTCATCAAGTAACACTGGGAGGGTTAAGGCTTAACTTAATTTTTTGATAAATTCATAGGGCTGCACTTTACTTTAGGTCCTAACTTACACTCATTCGAGTGAAAATAATTCAGTGTAGCCTAGTTCTAGGCTAAATTTTGTTTTTCCTTTAAGCCCAACTCTTAAATACCAAGCTTTAAACTAGATGGTAAAAAACATTTCTCATTGTTAAAACAAAAATAGGCTTTATTGATGTTATCACTTTTAAATTAACATAAAAAATCAAACTTTCCCAAAAGTATGCCAATTATAATTCCACTAACACGGGCAATCATAATAAAAACAATAAAATCACAGTCTTAACTTACTAAAATTTGCTACTTCTTTTTCTTCCACTATATTTGGAGTCCTGTCTTGTAGTTTTTCCTTGCCTTCTTCTCCGTTCTTTCTTTTCAAGAATCCAGTTGCGGGATTTCTTCAAAGACTTTCCTTTAATCTTCTCAAACCTTTCTCTTTTATTGGTAAAGGAGATAGTATCATCTGATGGGCCTGTCCCAAGAGCTTTTGGAAGCGGAGCTGCTCCTCCAGTCATTAAAACCAAAAAGAACTTTTTTGCTTTGGTTGAGTTTGGATAATCTACTATTAGGCCACCAAAAAAACCAGCCTTCATAGCTTCTGCTGTAACAAGCTCGATTTGTTGTGAATTTTCAGGGTAAAACTGGAAAATGGCTCTTGCCGTACGACTCAGGGAGGCATATAAGGTAGAGAAAAACTTATAAAGTCTTTTCGATGGCTTGTGTTGTGCATGGTCAGCATTACAAAGCCATTGTAGGGCACTGATACTGATAGCTCCATCGAAACACCCAGCTTTAAATGGCATCCCATGACCCATATCACCAAGGATAAAATCACCCTCCATTTCACGGTCCTGAGCAACAGCTAGCATTGATTTAGATATATCAACCCCAATCCACATATGCCCCTGATCCTCCAGCACTGATCCGCTTAATCCTGATCCACAACCGATATCTAATATCAAGCAACTTTGATCCTCGGGTAAACACAATAGCTCTACAGCACGTTCACTCATTTCTTCTTGGATTTTCATTATTCTTGTGTTCTGCGTGTACTTTTGAGCTTCAGTTTCATTGTAAAATATATCCGGAGGAGCTTGATGTTCAGGACGTTTAGAAGATGCCATAACTCAAGATTTACCAAACCAACTAAGAATATGTAGCTATAAATCAAATACAAACGAATAAAAACTTCACATAGGAGGATCTACTAACTTGCAAGCACAGTTTCACAGTTAACTTCTCTGCTAGTAGTGAGTGAGTGTATCCGTATCGGTTCGGTTTTGAGGTTAATGTTTGGTGTTTGAGCAGTGTTGCCACCGCGTTGTTGCGATTTTACCCTAAAGACGGGCTAAAATTACCCTAAATCTACTTTGAGTTACCCTAAAAATTACCCTAAATGTTAATATTTGCGTTTAATGCTATAAGACATATTATAAATCTTACATAAGGTGGTTAATTATACTACATTAAGTTCCAAAATCAATCAATTTATGTAAAATTATACTCGATTCTAAAAAACATCCCGAAAGAAGAACAAAATTTTGATATTCAGCTTTATCGTATATACGAAAAATATCGAATCAAGAACAGTATTTTTTTACTGTATCGACCCATTATTACTGTCTTTTGGACAACCATATCTTTATAGTAGCCTACGGTTACACCAAAGCTTTAATCTATACATAGTAAGTTAGTAATTTCTTGACATAATTTGTAAAATAATCCAGTTTAATTCAATTTAATCACATAATTAAATATCAAACCCGGTAATCAATAATATTTCATATTTTATTAGGCCTATAACGTGTTATAGAATCGAATACATTCTAAAACAGATAATTCACAACTAACTATTGATAAGATCGATTAGGATAACTTATGAAAAATCCATCATAGCAATAGATTTAAACCGGTTGAATCGAATATGATGACTTGGCCATAGTATGTAATGAACGTCTTTTGCCAAATTTTGAAGTTTTTTCATGTTTTTAGTAAAATTTCCATTGTTATGCTAACATTTAGTTTTACCCTAAAATTACCCTAAATCTACCATTACCCTAAACTTTACACTAAGACCAGTAAATTACCCTAAAAAAGGGTAATTACCCTAAAAGTGGCAACACTGTGTTTGAGTTTGAAGTAAGGTTAGGTAGGATAGGAGCGTTTGCACTACACAGCTGTGTAATGAATGCTTTTTTTCTATTCTAACGCAACAGAATAATAGTTAGGCATTTTAACGCACATTCTACAGAATGAGTTCTTAGATTTTAGTATATTATTAATTGGCTATAGAATCTCTTATTTTTGAACGCACACAATTCTGAAAGGGGAACCACTGTAGTAGTTATTTTGTGTGTTACACTTTTTTGAAATTTGATAAGGAACGGTACCTGGAAGTATAAAATACCATTCAACTTGTGTGAACCAGGCAATAACTCAGCAATAGTAGTGTGCGTGTGCGTGCCTTATAAAATCTAAAATACGGCCGCGTAGGTTTACCTATAATTTCACCTGATAGAGAACACATTAACGGACATGACAGTATCAATATCATGTACCTGGGAGATAAGTTGTGGGGGGGGGGGGGTAAAGTCAGCAATAAGTATTGCGTGCACCTTATAAAATCTATTGGCGTTGTCAAAATATTTTGGGCGTTGTGTGTCCGCCCGTCGCATTGGCGATCGGCGTTACGCACGGGCCTGGGTACTTCGCCGTCGGTTGGTCTGCTGCGTGGTGGTAATACTCGAGTCTCTGACACTATTTGGCTATGGTCGTTCACGTTCCTCGGCACTCCTAGGTCGTCGTGGTTTCGAACACTCGGTAGGCTATCGTGTTGTATTGCGGCCTTGTTAGTCGAGGTAGTCTTATATAATTGGCGTCGGTCTTTCGTCCTTTGGTCGGTCTCCCGCGTGATTTTTCGCATTTCCGTCACTCGTTGGTACCGTTAAATGCCGTCTCGCGGTGTTTTTTTTGTGTTTAGATGTTCTTTGGATGTCGTATTTTCAACCATCGGGTTTTAGGTGTTGTACGGGTGTCTGCATTGTCAGGGATTTTTTTTTTTAATCGGCGTTGGATTTCGTTCGTTGTGAGTCCACCCGTCGCATTGGCGATCGGCGTTACGCACGGGCCTCGGTCCTTCGCGCCGTTGGTCGGTTTTCCGCATGGTTTTCTAGCTTCTGTCAGTCGTGGGCTGTGGTCGTTCATGTTCCTCGCCGTTCCTCGGTGTTGTGGTTTCGACCACACTTTGTTTTCGGGTTGTGTGGCAGCCTTGTTAGTTGACGTAGTCTTACTTAATTGGCGTCGGTTTTTTGCCCGTCGGCCGGTTTGCCACTTGATTTTTCGCGTTTCCGCCACTCGTTGGTCCTGTTACCTGATGTCCCCGGTTTTTGTTTTTGTGATTAGATGTTGTTCGTGGTCTCGGCCATCGGGTTTTTGGCGTCGTACGTGCGTCTGCCTTGTCAGGGCATTTTTCGAAACCGGCGTTGGCGTCGGTACATTTGGTAGGGTGCTCGCCGGTTGGATTGCCTGTCGGGGTTAGGCCCGGGCCTGGGTCATTTATGCAACCGGGCTTGTGTTCGTTTTTTGGTTTGCCGTGTGGAAAGTTGCGTTTTTATCACTCGGTATGTACTCTCTTCTGTTTTACGCCGGTCGTTGTTCGCGTAAATCGTCGCTCATCTTCGGTTGTCGTAGTTTCGTCCATCGCGTTTTCGGCGTCGTACGGGTGTATGGTTCGTGGAAGTGACTTAAGCTTGATTGATGACAAAGTAGCCCGTCAACTAAATTTGAAAATTCACAAGATGAATGAAGAGGTGGGATTAGCATCCAATAATCATAAAGTAAAAATCACTGGCAATTGCAACGTGACTCTTGAGATGCTTAGTCATAAATACCCTCATACCAAACTTTCTGTTATGTCTAACCTCTGTTCAGAGACAATTGTAGGACGAGATTTGCTGCAACTTCATTCATCAGTTAACTTTGAGTTTGGAGGGGATAAGGATCCTCTAGTCGTAAGTGCTCTTACTGCTGCAAACGTTGAACCTGCTAATCTATTTATCAACCTGACTTCTGATTGTAAACCTATAGCTATCAAATCCATTCGCCATTCACTCAACGATTCTCAGTTCATTGAAGCAGAAGTGAATAAGCTGTTAAATGATGGAATCATTGAAAAGAGCAATTCACCATGGCGTGCCCAAGTGCTTGTTATGTTACTTCTTCACAAAATCACAAGAAAAGGATGGTCATAGATTATTCTAGAACAATAAACCGCTTCACAGAATTGGATGCCTACCCAATCCCTTCTATTAATGAAATAATGTCTAAAGTTGCTCGTTACAAAGTCTTTAGTACAATAGATTTGAGAAGTGCCTATCATCAAGTCCCTATTCCTGAAAAAGACCGACTATACACTGCTTTTGAGGCTGCTGGGGAACTCTACCAGTTTACCAGAATCCCTTTTGGTACAACAAACGGTGTTGCTGCTTTTCAAAGAACCTTGGATCACATTATAAGAAAAGAAAAATTGAAAGATACATTTGCTTACCTTGATGACATAACAATTTGTGGTCGCACTCAAACTGAACATGATGAAAATCTGAAAAATTTTATGCAAACAGCTTCTAAATACAACTTAACTATGAACCATGAGAAAAGCTCATTTTCCCTACGCAATATCACCCTACTAGGTCACTCCATCAGTGATGGTGTTATTAGACCTGATCCAAAGAGATTTCAGTCACTTTTAGAGTTTCCCCCATCCAATGATACTGCTTCTTTAAAGAGAGCCTTAGGCATGTTCTCTCACTACTCCAAGTTCATACCCTGCTTTTCCGAAAAGATTAAGCTCCTAAAACCAGGTCCTTTTCCGTTATCTGAAGAAGCACTTTCATCGTTCCAGAATCTCAAACATGATATAGAGAAAGCGTCTCTGGACTGTATAGATAATGAAGTTCCATTTTGCGTGGAGACAGATGCCTCAGATACTACGATAGCCGCCACTCTTAGTCAACAAAATCGACCGGTAGCATTCTTCTCCCGAACTCTGTCAGACTCAGAGAAACGCCATTCCTCTGTCGAAAAGGAGGCGTATGCCATAGTTGAGGCTGTGAGACATTGGAAACACTTCTTGTTAGGCAGACACTTTCGACTCATCACTGACCAACGATCGGTTGCATTCATGTTTGATTTAAAACATGGGAGTAAGATCAAGAATGAGAAGATTACAAGGTGGAGACTAGATCTATCGTGCTATTCATATGACATAGTGTATCGTCCAGGAAATATTGATTTTAAAGGACCACTTCCATCTCGTTCTCAAAATAAGTATATGCTGACTGTGATAGATGAGTATTCACGTTTCCCGTTTGTTTTTCCTTGTCATGATACTTCATCATCTTCAGTTATTTCATGTCTTCAACAACTGTTTGGTGTTTTCGGTGCTCCATCGTTCATTCATTCTGATAGACGGTCTGGATTCATGTCACAAGAATTGAAAACGTGGCTCATGACCTTGAGCATTGCAACCAGCAGGACGACCCCATACAATCCTAGAGGAAATGGACAAGTTGAACGCTATAATGGTACTATTTGGAAAACTGTTCAACTAGCTCTCAAAGATCTTGGTTTACCCATTACTCGATGGGAAGAAGTCTTACCGAATGCTCTACACTCTATTCGATCATTGTTGTGTACGGCTACAAATACCACCCCTCATGAAAGAATGTTTGGTTTTTCTAGACGTTCTGCTAATGGCCTATCAACTCCATCTTGGCTTTTAACACCAGGCACCGTTCTTCTACGTAAATTCAACCGGACTTCAAAATTTGACCCTTTAGTTGAAGAAGTGACACTCTTAGAAGGAAATCCCGAATACGTCCATATCAGATATCCAGATGGAAGAGAAACTACTGTTTCAACACGCCATCTAGCTCCTTTCGGTGAGGTGAGTGAAGCTCATGAGCAAGACATTGAAAATAAAGACCTACTAAATGTGGACGAGATTGACGAAACTACTACTGATGCTCCTATTTTACAAGATTCTGGCCCTACTGTCCAACTATCCGAATCAAATAGTAGAGATAATAGTTTAAAAAATAACAACGAGCCCATTAGAAGAAGCAATAGACCTCGGAAGCTTCCTGTCTATTTGAAAGACTACTTTCATTCCTGAGGAGGGAAGAATGTTGTAATATTTGATACTCTGCCTTTCCTTCTTTACTTTATGTATAAAGTGTTAAATCATATGTTATTTATGTTTTTGTTAATTGACTGTTTGTACACAATCCTCTAACATGTTT